TATATTTAAAATTTTAACGATGGTTACGACTGGGATTTGAGGGAAATTGCTTTGTTTGACGGCTTTCTCAGTCTTAAAACACTCTTTTTTTAATTTATTTTTAAAATTTTCGTTGTCCTTAAGTGGTGATCAAAATTGTGATCAAGAAGTGTTTTTTTTTCGATTAAATATCATTAAATGAAACCAAAATATGGAAAATCAGCCACAACAACGACTTAATTACTGGCAATAACGACAAAAAATATTTTCCCCTGAAAGAAGCCACAATCTATGGCCAAAATGTCAGGCAGATTACATCGTAGTCGTTGCATTGTGTTAAGACTGAGAAAGCCGTTAATCAAAACAGCATTTTAGCTTCTGAACTGTGATCGAAAAATTCCGGAAGAAAGCTCCGGGGAATGTTTGAATTAGCTTCTGAATGGAGCTGGAAAAATATCCAGAGAAAGACGAAAGAAGCTCTCCTGGATGAAGTTCGAGAAAAGCTGGAAAAACCTCCGGGAAACTTCCAAGGCACGAATTGAGAAACTTGTGGCGAAAATTTAAATAAACTATAGGAAAAAAATCGGATGTCACATCCAAAGGAAGCCAGAAAAGTTTCGGAAACCGGAAGTAAATTTCTAGAAGTAGGGGAAGTGCACCAGTATTGGCCATAGGTTCCTATTTTGGCCACACATCAGAAAACCGATTAAATTACAATATTCGTGTATTTTGTGGTCGACATGTTTATGTACACCGATCAATATGATTTGTACCAACAACCTGAAAGCAACTGAACATCTCAAAATTGTGAACAACGTGAAATATCGTCAAAAGGTGGCCAATAAAGGAACATGGCCAATACTGGAGCGTTTCCCCTAGTTATTTCCAGGGAAAGCCAGAAGAAGCTCGGAAAAACCTTCCAATAGAAGTCGAATAAAAAACTTGTAACTTATGGTCAAACCTAAAGAAGAAGACGAAATAAACTTCCTGGAGACGCTGGCAGAAACTTTCTAAGGTAGATTGAAACAAACATCTGAAAAAGTTGGAAGCCAGAGCGCTTACGGAATAGTCGAAAGAAACAAGGACATAATTCCGGAAGAAAGAGATTCCTGGGGGATACAGAAAATTTTCTAATGATGATCCAATGATCCAGAAAATTTTCCTGATATTCAAAAAACATCCCTGAAGACTCAGAAATTTCCCTGAAGTTTTCGGAACATTCCATAATTACTCGAAATTCCTTAAAAGTTCTTGTAATTTTCCTGAAACTGGGGGCTGTTTTGGAGTTCTCTGGTCATTCTCAAAGCGCTCGGAACTTCCCTGATTATAATAAGACTACCGGAATATCTCTAATCATCTTAGAAGGTCTCTGGACTTTCTTGAAGATTACGAAATCTCTTAAGTGCTCTCACAATTTTCTTGAATTTATTATAACATAAGCATTGAAGTTCTCTGATCTTCCCGATTTTTAATTTTTTTTAAAGTTATCGACGCTGCCATTAAAAAGCATAGAACTTCCCATAAAATGTTCTCACAATGATCTAATGTTCATGTAACTTCCCTTACGTTTCCTAAATTTGCATGGACATTGCTGAAGTTTTCGGAAATTGTCTGAGTTTCTCAGAACTCCTTCATAATTTCAGCAATTTCATATTGATCTGTCCTGATGCTCTCTGAGCTTCACTAAAGTTCCTGAAAACCATTAAATTACCCTGAAGTTCTTTGGACTTGTGAAGTTTTCAAAATATTTATGATGTTTCCTTAAGTTCACTGGACTTTTCTGAAATTTCCGGGTTTTCGAATTTTAAGAGAAATTAATGAAACTGTCTTTAATTTATCGAAACTTACACAAAAGTCTGAACTTTTCTGAAGTTTCAGAACTTCTTAAATGTGCCTGCAGCGAGTATGGATCCGCAATAAAAATCTGATAGCATCCTTGAAGCTCCGGGAAAGTAAAAAAAAAACTGGCGGGGAAGATGAAAGAATCATTCGAGCGAGGGCTGAAGAAGCTTCCAAGGTAAGGTGGAGGAAAATTCCAGGGAAAGTTGGATGAAACTTCAGGAAGTTTTAAAATGAATAAAAACTTCGGAAGTTAAATAATGTTTAAAAAATATTTCTCGATTCCCTAGTAATTACCGGAAAGAGCCATCGACTATTTCTCGATTGATGGGTAGCCAAAAACGGTCAGGAAATGCAAACATTAGTCGAAAGAGTATCAAGCATAAGGCATTTTTAGAGATGATTGTTTAGAATTTCGAAGGCTAAAAAAATATGAGGTGTTCAAAAAAATACAAGTCTCTCACAAAAATTTTCTCTGAAATTCGATCGCGGGCAGGCAATAATAATTTTGATTATTTAAAAAAAAAAACGTATAAATCGGTATAAAATCTTAAAAATCGGTATTCTGAGGAACCTTATCTGTATATCGGTATCTAGTTTGGAAATCGGTATAAATACCGTTAAATCGGTATATCTGGCAACGCTGCCTGCTATCCATCCGAGCGTGGTTACTTCTGACAGACAAGAAGTTAAATTTTGACAACTGTGGCTGAGTTCTTCTTGAAAACCGGTCAATCGATAGCAAAGGGATTTTCGAACATAGAAAATAACTTTCGAAATGTCACTTTTAACCATGAGTTAAATTTAACTCGGCAAATGGTTCACAGCCTAAGAGTGTATAGAATCACAGTAGGCATTGGTTGTCAGGATTAGAGTCGGTGTATAATGAGTCACGCCAAGAGTGAAGCCAAGTCTACCTATTGAACTGTCAAACCGGCTACCTATCGTGCAAAGTAAACAAGCATTACGATGCTATGAAAGGTCCACGAAAGGTATTGCAATTAAATATTAAATATAACCGAAGAAATGATCATATACACGCAGTGAGCATTACATTTGTCATGCGATACGTTTTGTAATGATCAGTAATGACAATTTCTACTATTTTTCCTTAAGATAATTCGACAAAATCACTGATATAATGATTTACTACAGCCGTTAATTTTTTTCCTCGCTAGAAGTCATTTGAAGTTGATGCAGAAGTCCTCTGTTGCCAAGTTAAAAGAAAGAGAATCTTTCGAAAACCGTGATGCGAGTTCAACTGTTTTTCTCTTGGCGTGACTCATTATACACCGACTCTAGTCAGGATAAGTTCATTTGTTTACATCATGGCATCGCCGGAGTAAGCACGTCGCGATTCGATCCTGCACGCTCGAAACAAAAATCCCGGTCCATCCGCTTCTGACAGCTTTCAATCAAATTCCTGGGCAGGAATTGTATACCTCGGTTGACCGGAAGAGTGCCCCGGAAGAATGTAATATCAAAAAGAAGTCGAAATTCCCCAAAAAGTTACTTGTCTGCGAAGCAATGGCTGAAATGCGAAACTTTCGATACCTCTGGGACCATGAACCAGCAAATTTACCAGGAGAGGTGACCATAACAAACAATTATGGACAGTTTCATGCAAATCGGAGAAGTTCGCATCAGATCGATTCTTCATTTGGTGTGGAACTGCTATATCGCGCGAAGACTGAAGCCAAAAGTTCCAATCGAACCGTCAAACGCGGTTCCAATCGAGCAATGTAAATAAACACGGGCGCTTCATGAAGAAAAGCATGAGATCGGTTGAATTTAATTTTTGAGGTTGGTTGTCTTTATTAAGGGCAATATTATTGTTATTCACCAGCTGTATTCTCGTTATGTTTTCACGAAATATTTGCTCCAGCACAACTAAATACATCTACACAGGCTCTGTAACAAAGATCAAGGCGTTTCCGGTGTAATTTTTCAAGATGGTAAAATTTGTGAAAGACTTTAAAGGAGAGATTTCGCTCATACGTGATAGGAAGCTACAATCGCAGATTGAATAATTTTGTGCAACGCTCTGTAGAGTATACCCTCCAATGTGGTATATTTGGTTTCACTCAGAGTTTTCAAAAAAATGAGTTTTCAAATACTTCCATTGAATAGCGATACTACCGATACGGTTAAAAAAGTTTTCATTTTACCGGGATGCTGAAGCAGACGACAGTCGCTCAAATTAAAAGTCACTTGAAGTAAACACAAAATTGCGAGTTGCCAAACCTTGCAGAATAAGAAATCAGTTGGCCGTGCAACCAGATTTACTTTTATTCTTTCCGCGCGTCTCTTATATAACATCGTTTCTGCTATATCGATAGAATACGTCTGGAATGGTGAGGAGAATTCCTAAGGAATTTTTCCGGAGAGCTCTGAGCAAAATTTTGGAAGCAATTTTGCGAAGAATTACCTGATTAATTTGAGGTTATTTCTCTCGGGAAAAAATATAGCGAATTACGGACAAATATTTGAGCGAGTCTTTGCTAAAATGATTTAGAGTTGGGAGTATGTATTGTAGCGTGAATTCAAAAACTTATCTGAAGGTTCGTCTCTTCTGGGTGAAATAAAAACCTACTGTCATTGTTATTGTGAACCCGTAGGTGCCTTATTCAAGTAGCACGCTTGTTCCAAAGTGATTGTGGGAACTTTTGTATAACTTTTTCCAGGGAGCCTCAAAATCCGTCCAGCAGGACAGCTTAAAAACCCGAAAATGTTTGTTCCATTTCTAAATGGACCATGCTTTAAAAGGTGAATCGTTAATACCCAGTTTGAATTACCCATCTTTTACCCTTCAGTGGAACGAACCCCCATCAAATTCCCTCCCGCGGTAACCAATCGCTCCGGCGAAAAATTCAATTATCCCAGAGGTAACAATATCGGCCAACACTATCCAATTCCACTCCACTCACCCACACAAATTCGTCATTTACCATCGGAAATCGGTTCTCTTATCTTCGGCTCAGTATCGCTCGCTGTCGTCACCTTCTTTTTCCGATTGTGGATAGATGATTACGTGCGCGGGACGACCGCTTGGATTTCGATTAAAAGTTTCACCATCGTCGTCTTCGTCGTCTATCGATAGGTAATTAAAATCCACCTACCCCCCCTCCCCCCCTCATGCTATTTGCGATTGTTATCTTGGTAGGAAGAAAATTGCCACTTACTTGTAGATGTTCTTCGGATCCATCATGCTCATCATCGCCAGCTGGCCGGCATTGAGGCCGGAAGTGCCCGGTTTGGCGCTCAGATCCAGTGGCTGTTCGCCACCCGGTCCGAGCACGACCGCCGCTCCATCCGGGCCCGCCTTCTCCGTCGGACTGACACCGGCCGCGGCCGGATCCGTCGTCGACGTCGAACCGCCTGCCCCCGATGGGGACATTTGCTGCTGCAGTTGACTGTACCAGAGGGCTGTGGAAAGGTAAAGCAAACAATCGACGGAATCGAATTAGGGTCCCTTCCGTCCGGCTTCGGCCCTGGAATGACTTACGATTGTAGAACTGCGCCAGCCCCGGTTGGATGCCCTGGAGCGAGGCCATCGCGGCAAACTGCGTTGCCATCGTTTGCAGCGAGGTCATCGTCGGTGGGATGCCACCGGGCGCCGAGGCCGCTCCGGCACTTCTCAGCAGCGCCGATAGGGACTTGGAACTCGGTACTCCCCGTCCGGCGGCGATCGCGGCCCGCAAGTCCGTTTCGCTGCTGTCGCTCGAGTCGCAATCGCTGTCGTTGAGGACCTGAGGGGTAAGGTAAAATTCGTGAAAAACTTCCATCATCGCCAGCGCTTCGGTTGAACTCAACCCACCTCCGTCTTGGGAACGACCCGTTGGGATGCACCGCTGCCGGGAAGCACGGTGTGGCCGGCCTCGGGTACCAGTTCGCCTGCCTCGTTCACCGTCAGCAGTTTACCATCGACGCAGAAGTAGCACTTGTCCTGCGGTTTCCAGTCCACCGGCGTCGGAGGCTGCGAAGGATGGCTTTGATGGTGGTGATGCTGGTGCTGGTGGGGCTGATGGTGGTGGAGGTGATGCCGCTTGTTGCTATTTTCCCCATCCGGGGTGGGAGCAGCACTACCGTCGGCGTCGCCGCTTGAAATATTATTATTGTTGTTGTTGTTGTTGGTTGCGCTGTTGTTGTTGTTGATGATGATTTTGCTGTTTAGCAAATTGTTACAATTTTCCTGCTTAATTAGGTTACTCTGCTCCGGTGTTGCTGATGAATTGTTTTGATTTTCTGGATGGAAAATGGGAAGAAAGGGGGAAAGATTGCGAATTTAGTAGTGCGATTGAGGGTGACATAGTCTACGGCGGAGTTTGGCTTTCTTTGGAATGGCAGTGTCTTCTATCGAGGTCGATGGTTTTCCACATTTGAAAGCAGTTTGATGTTGTCAATTGACAATTTAATTGGACGGATATTTTGCACTAGAATTAATTTGCTTGTTAAAGCTTATGGCGTAGCCAGGGGGGGGGGGGGGGGTCGATTTGCCCGCTAGATTAACATAGCTGAAAAATGTGCAAATTTAAATTGCAAAGTCTCATAATTATTTTTTTGTTTATGTTCGAAGACCTCAAAATTTGCCTGAGTTACAGAAATATGAAGTTTTTCGAAGGCCATTAGATTGAACGTTATTGGGCTGCCTAAAGGATTGACCCAAATATTGTAAAGTAAAGTGCAATGACAGCGGAAGCGGAACGGCAGCGGCAGTGGAAAAGCCCGGTCTGAGTAAGCCTACTTATCGAATTGAAAACAAGTTAGAACCAAATCAACGTCGGTTAAGCAACCGTCAAACTTCCGTTCCGCTTCCGCCCACAATGCGTTTAGGCGTAAAGATATCTAGATAGAGATGGAATTAGGGCGTAACAACTTTTGTAAACAATGACTTCTCTCGATGATTTCTCAAAAGTCATGGCGCTCCTTGGTAAATCGACATGACCATCGGGTAGGGGAAGACTTCCCCTACTAGATGGATATGTTGGTTTGTATAGGCGTGCCTTGAATTCCTAGAAATTAACGAGAGAAGTCATTGTTTACAAAGGCTGCTACGCCCTAATTCCAGCTCAATCTAGATATGATTGCAATCCTTGAATTTAAATGAATGATTTCAAGGGAAAGTATTTCGAATTGTGGATATAGATTAAAAAATCTCAACTGACTGTTCGAAAATATCAAGATTCCAAGGTTTGGATTTTATACAGATGTTTTTCCGTCAATGGAAGTTACAGAAATATTGGGCGAAGAAGCAGAATTTTCAAACATAATAATCCCAGATTCTTCTATTAACAGAATCTGGGATTTGGAATATTTAGAAAATCTCTCAAGCACTTTTCAGAATTTTCTTAAGAATTTCGAGAAGATTTCCAAACGAATTTTGAGGAGAATTAAAAACCAAGTCGAGGAATAATTCAAAGAGATTGTGGATAAGGCAAGGGGTTGGTCACTCTGAACAGTGTGTCAAAGACACAGTTGGGCGCACTCATTAGCTCAGTTTGGCACCCAATTTTTGAAGTTACTGGCAGCCCTGGTCTTATCTATACGCCTGCGCAGCGCATGTGTCACATGTAGTAAAAGTAAACACAATGGAGCTGTCCGAGACGAATCACCGTCGTATCGAATCAAATCGGTTTTAAGCCCTGAACCTTCACCAAACGCACCTTACCGCAAATCTATATGGCAGATGCAGCAGCGTCGATTGGAAACGGCCGTGGAAAACATTACTGACTGGCTGACTAAAAGTAAATTGGTACGCACAAAAAGACCTGTAATTCGTTATTCAATAAGTTTAAAAAGTCCATTAATGATTACTTTACATTACTCTTATTAAAACTTCAAAGTTACAGCATAAGATGGTTAAATTTCTCCTCCGAACCTTCCTCTTGATGGAACCCATCAGCGCCTGCACAGTGGAAACGGACACGGAATCAGCGCATTTCTTCCATTTTGCACGCATTTGCTGGATGTCCTTGACTGCCCGCCGCTGCGTCGAAGTCGCTGCTTTGAAATTGCCCAGTATTTTCGATTGGTCGAAATTCCGGGCAATTCGGAGGATTCATTAGCTTGGGGACCAAATCGATCTTGTTGGCAGCATACCACTCCAGAACCACCTTGCAGTAGTGGTAGCTGGTCAAATCAAGCCAAAAGATGACGTTGCCCCTATGCTTGCGGATGAACGGCAATACACGCTTGTTCAGGCATTCTTCGATGTAAACTTGGGATGTCATCGTCGAGGATGTGACGAATAGTTCTGTTTCAGGCCTCAACTGCAAATCGCTTGCCAAATCATGATCTTCTTCGCGAACTTGTCGGCAAACACGAACTTGAATCTTCCCGGCACATTCCCACGTCCAGTCGCGATGTAAAACTTTTGACCGGGAAGCTGCTTGACGTATGTTTCGTCATCGATCAAAGTGCAGCCCTGGTGTTTCGTTAAAATACGGTCGTACAAGAGCGTTGTACGCTTTTTGGCCACGGAACTCTGCTTCATGTGCCGGTTCGGATGTTTACTGGCTTTGTACGACTTGTATCCTTCCCTGGCAAGGATATTCCGCACCGTTTGAAAGTTGGCGTTGTACCCTCTGGCTACATCTTCGCTGCGCAGCGGACGATCGCTGGTTCCAGTTTTTTCGTAGGTCCGCTGATTCCTTTCCACACTCAGGTTTTGCACACTCGACAAACTGTTGTTTTTGGGGGGGAGGTGGCTGTCAAATACGAACAATCGTCGCCTACCTCGCATAACTAATTCCAAACGTAAACAAGCCATAAGAAACCTACAGCGTTTGTTTACGTTTGGAACCAGTTTCATACAAGAATGATCAGTAGGCTGATTTGACAGCACGTCCCCCCCAGCATTAGCCAGCTTGGAACCGGACCACTCCGTAGTTTCCAGGTGTTTGTGCACAATATTTTTTCTTCTTTCGAGTTCCATTTGACGTTATTTCTGAACGCTATCGACTACTTTGATCAAACTTTCACCAGTTTTTCTCTATAGAAGTAGGGGAATTTACGTATTCTCGTCAATCTAAGCAGCGTCTACACTTCTATTAGCTTTCTCTCAGCGTCACGCACATATATGACGAGTCTATTTGTTTACATTGATCTGCTGCTTGCTTCTCTATCAATTCCAATCGACATAATTCTTCAAAACTGTTTGAAAGCGTTTTTACAACGCTCCAAACTTCACAGCTGAGTGTGACTATTGTCGGCAGCCTCTTTTTCTTCGGCAACCTTCCCATTAGAATTGCGTGTTAACCAGCTGTTCTATTATCGGCATTATCGGCAACTCAAAATCAGCCCCATTTTGTAGTGCGTATGCTTCATTTGAAGAAAAATCTGGCATAACAGGATTGCCCAGTCGTACAAATATAGTCAGATTGAAGCTGAAAGACTAAACAATCGATTGGATACATTCAGGGAAGTGTGTTGATGGGAAAACATTATGAAATCGACGTTCAAATTTTGGTTGCCGGAAACAGTCAATGGGTGCCGAAGCCGACATTTACCCTAAGTAAACAAACCACTGTCAAAGTGTACCAATTTACTTTTTGTCATACTTTATATTGACAGTGGAGGCGGTTTCCTGATTAAACAGCGAATCTGCGTTGATCAGAATGAGGAAGAGAAGCTGGCTGACGAGAAGGAAGTGGAAAAGTCTCGGGAAAAGTACTCCTTCCCGGTGCCGATAGAGTACGATTATGTCTGGAGTGAGGGGACTGCTTTGCGGATTCGTATCTGTTGATCACGTTTGGGTGTTTGCGATGCCTGTAGAAATTCGGATGAGAAACTGAAGGATTGCGACCTGGACGAAGGTGAAACATTACAAGTTCCTGCAAGCACATCGGCACAGCGGCCGACAGCCAAGTGTACCGTTTTCTCTTTGTTTTGATAACAGTTAAAAACAACAACGGTAAGATTTATCATTAAACAGAGAATTCAATATGATTTGAAGCTTTTTTTTGCCTCTAAAAAAGTATCATGACTTTTTGCCAATTTCCCACCATGGATTCCCCATAAGCAGCGCACATTCTAATGTCTTTCCGAAGCAGTATTTCATTCCGCGCTAAGCAGACCAATCACAATCTCAAGTGTCACCATTTTCAAATCCATCAATATAAGATACTTAACCGCTTCTCGTCAAGATCGTTCGTGACCTTGAGCACCACAAACCGTGCATCGGCGTTGTTCCGGTTTGCTACCAGGTATGCATCGTTGATCACCGCAGCCGATTTCGATCCCGGGAAGAGTTCTAACGATTTCAACAGCAGCAGCTTGTTCCGGCCGTTACAGATTTCAGATGCCATTAGATGCGTTTGGATGTTGTCTTTACCGAGTTCATTGCCAAACATCTTCTGCCGCGATCGGAGGAACTCGTACGCTTTTTGGAAAGTCGCCCAAGTTTGTCCGGTATCAGCTGGGGTGGCTTTAGATCACCGTCTTGGTTCGGATTTTACCTGGGGGGACGTGCTGTCAAATCAGCCTACTGATCATCTTGTATGAAACTGGTTCCAAACGTAAACAAACGCTGTAGGTTTCTTATGGCTTGTTTACGTTTGGAACCAGTTATGCGAGGTAGGCGACGATTGTTCGTATTTGACAACCACCTCCCCCCCTTGGATTTTACCGCTTGGTTGTGTTGTTCATTCACCTAGAGTCGGTGTATAATGAGTCACGCCAAGAGTGAAGCCAAGTCTACCTATTGAACTGTCAAACCGGCTACCTATCGTGCAAAGTAAATAAACATTACGATGCTATGAAAGGTCCACGAAAGGTATTGCAATAAAATATAAAATATAATCGAAGAAATGAGCATAAACACGCAGTGAGCGTTAAATTGTCATGGGATACGCTCGGTAATGATTAGTAATGAGAATTTCTACTATTTTTTGTTAAGATAATTTGACAAAATCACTGATGTAATGATTTACTACAGCCGCAATATTTTTTCTCTCGCTAGAAGTCATTTGAAGTTGTTGTAGAAGTCCTCTGTTGCCAAGTGAAAAGAATGGGAATCTTCCGAAAACCGTGATGCGAGTTCAACTGTTTTTCTCTTGGCGTGACTCATTATACACCGACTCTACATTCACCTTCAAAACAATTTGAACTGTCAAATTAACCGGGTTGCCAAGCAAACCGGCATGGGTTACCAAGCAAACAAAGTTGGTCTGGTGACTTGCACACTCAGAAAAAATTAGTCGCAAATTAAGTGTTTAGAGTGACCACCCCTTGGGATAAGGAGAATT